CATCACAAACAGCAATACAAGCAAATCAACGACTGTGGGATGAATATGTAGCTGGTATCCGGGGGGTTCATTCACTGATGACATCGGCAAGCCGACTGATCAAATACTCAGCAAATTAACCATGGAAGATAAAACAAAAATAATTAATAGAGCATTAATAAAACAGTAATAAGTAAAATTAGTAAAACCAATTTGATTTTAAATAGACAGATGACTATAAACAATAAATTTAAATGTGTTAGGCCTATGTTATTTTACAGTATTTACTATGGTTTTGTAATTTATATATTTTTATTTTTGTACTATTTGTTAAACTTATATATAATAAATAATTTAATAAAATAGTACAAATAATGAATAAGTTAATTGAAATACGCCGCAATTAACGCACTACATTCACTGAGAGACGCGCTTGGCGTTTCATAGAAATGACCGGCGGCTCAACTTGTCGGCGACTCAACCGGTCATATGCCGCTAGACCTAGGCTATGCCTAGGCCCTAGGAGCACACAAAAAAATTATATTCTTAATTGTATTCAAATATAATTATGTAAAGAACACATTGATGTGAGAAATCTATTGTACTGTTTAAATGACAAAACTGGTTGAATATTTACTGTACAGCACAGGTGGGCAAAGTGCAGCCCGCTGGCCTCATGCGGCCCATCAGCTATTTTTTTTGCGGCCTGCGACTATGAATTGAAAGTATGCTCCCAGCGGGAGCGTGTGTCTACTGCCTTATATAGGAGTTTTTGTTTTTTTAATTTTATCTTATGTTCTTCAATATTCTGTATAGACCTACTACTATATTGCACTAAAAACACTTTAAAAATGAGTAACCCTTGGAGTTACCACGTTATGTCGTTGATCACGAAGAGTACTACCATGTTCTAGAGGGCATCCTTTAAATGATGGTAAAAGGTGTTTGTGGCGAACGCGTGGTGCATCTCTATAATGCTTGTTCGAGTTTCGAACGCAATTTTGTTCGAGTTCCGAATGCTATTTGATTGTCAATAGAGCACCCCCTACCTTGTGGTAGTAGTATCCATCATGCCTAAACCAGATTTACCCTTTTCCGCCATCTTTAATTGCTACATCATGACATAGTGTCTACACCCCCGTTGGGGGCAGTAGACACAAAAACGCCATGTTTGCGGCCGCCAATCAAAATTGGCTAGAAAACACCTCGTTTTTGACGGCCCTACACCAATTATGTAAAAAGTAACATTAAAACTGAGAATAAAGTGATGTAAAAGCAGTGCTTGGAGGTTTTTTGGAAGCTCACTGGAAACATCAAAGCTTGTTTGTGGCCGTCAGTGTTAAATCAAAAATTCACTTTGGCCCTCCGACCGATTTTTATGCCCACCCCTGATTTACAGAGTTATTCTAGATTTAATAAAATAAATTTTTTTCCTGATTTACGCATATTGGCCTATCTTGAATTTGTAACCTTATGCTTATGTACAGTTTAGCTAAGCCTAGACGCGATGTCTCCTCCATCTGCACGCGTTTTGGTAGGCTACGTGATGACACATCACTCGTATTGCAGCCTAGAGTGCCTCAGACTCTACGTAGCCTACGGTATTTATACACTCGGGGCACAGATTCTTATTAAAAACATTACATAAAGTTAATATATTATTAATCTTTGATATTTTTTTGAAATTTGGAATTTTATATTCCAAATCGGAAATATCGGAGAACATCGTCTGAGTGTTTGCTTTTTTGTAATTACCCAATCAGAGTCCAGGAAAAGGACCCTGTGACCCCAATTTTTTCCTGATATGGTAACAGTTTTTTTGGGATTTTGACAATCACCCTCACACGGATGTACTCCTAGCTAGCTAGGGATACGGTACCGTATTTATCTTCAATTTCCTAAACGTAAGATAAATTGCATCATTCAAGAAAATACTGTGCATCATCCAATAAAATGCCGCCACCAGTGTGACGTCATTGTTCAAGAAGACTCGTGAAATCGCTCACTATTGTTGAACGAACATATCCTGTGTCGTGGTCTCACAAAAATACATTTAAAACAGTTGTAAATAACAATGTTTTTTCCCTGATGTGAAAGTGTACCTCCAAGTAGGGAGTTGTTACTTAACAACTCCCTGCTCAGATAGAAAACTAAATTACACACCATAATTAATGTCAAACTATTGAATCCCAACACGATGGCGTGTATTAATTCTTGGATATTTATTTGAATTTTATTGGGTTCACACAACAATGGCAACCATCATATTAGTGCACCCAGAATACCAATAAAATAAACTTACAAAAAAACAAAAAGAAAATGCTAAACTAAATCTTATTACTAAAATTTTACCCTAAATATTAATCTAATCAATAACTCTCAATAATGGAGTATGCGATTTCAATTTATACAAAGTCACAAATATATTGGAAGCAAAGCTGTGTAGGCCTAGCCCTTTTAAATTAAGAGATATTAGTTCTTTAAAAAAAACAAAACTTAATCTAATCAAAAACTCTCCAATAACTTTTCACATTAGGTTTGGTCAAATGTTACATTATATCAGGAAAAATTAAAATGAATTGTGGAGGGTCTGTGATTGTACCATCCTTTCACATACGAAAGCTAACACATTGTTACTGTATACAGTGGTGTTACATAATATAATGTATTGATAGAAGATTTACACTAAACAGTATCAGGAAAAATCGAATGAATTATACTTAGACCCTATATTGTATAGGGTCTGTGATTATACTGTCCTTTCTCATATGAAAGCTAACACATTTTATGAAAAAAATCTACCGTTTCTCTGAATAGAGATTCTTGTCATTTGATATTTTATTTTTAAAAAAACCCTTTTTCTAAATAGAACAGTCCAGCGTCTTTCTAACTATATCAAAAGATTATATTATTTTAGGTTGAAGTCATGTAGTATCCTAGGCGCCGTGCAATGGACTTCATTTCATGGTTTTTAACTTTTTGGAAAAAGTTAATTGTTTTCTAGGCACCGTGCAATAGACAAAAAGTGGATGGAAGTAAAAATTCACTGTGGAACTAAATTTCTATGAGAAGTGACGAATTGCGGTTATTTTCATTCAAGGCTTATTCCAAAGTGTATCGCAGTTAAAAACTGAATTACAACAAATTGTTATAAATATAATTTACAGATATAAAATATTACAAATATAAAAATATTATATATACTGTATATTTAAAAAATTTAACACATTGGTTAATAACCAATATCATGTGATACAAAATCTACCAATTAAATAACAAGGATCTATATTACTTTAGGTGTGTTATAATAATTAATATTAAATGGTTAAAAAGAATTTTATTTGATTTATCACATATTACAAACAAATATTACTAATAAGTTGAGTTGGACTTTGCATAACCAGGGCACCAAAGTTCCTGATAGTTTTTTATCGATATCTGGCCTACTGTCATAATGTTTGTATATGATGATGACATATTTTTGTATTTAGAGAATATAATTGCCCTTAATGAAAGTAAACAATAAACATGTTAAAAAAACTTTATTGAATTCTTCAGTGTTCAGCAGCACTATCTTATATCATTGCAGGTATTATGTGCCATAAGTCCCAACCATTACTGGGTTCACGCTAACCGATCGCCAAGTCGCCATGGGCGAAAACAATTTTGAATTGGCGAAACAAAAAACAACTACTTTAGCCATTTTGGCGAAAGCTTAAAAATAATAAAAATGTTTTTTTTAAATACTTGCTGAAATACATTATTTCTTTCGTCCGACCTCTCCATGGAAATATTTTCCGTTGGCACGATCAAGGCCAAGATCTCCATTTTACGCTACTCCATTGCCAGTGCCATGCGACGTTTATGTGTGTTGTTCTATTAGTGTGACTGCAAACGTCACTGTGTGCATCGCAAATTATTTTGTTATTTTAAAGTGGGCAGCGTAACAATCAGCTAGATGGTAACGACTAATTTCTATGTTCACGACGGTCGGCTAGCTGTTAGCGTGCCCCAAGTGTCCAAGTGCACACAGCAGAACTAAAGCAGCCGACTGTCGGGTAAATAATGACTTTCGAGCTTGGGGTTTTTCCTTGAATGCCTGGATGATTTCAGTGTCAATGGCCAGGCCAGGCTAGGCCATGTGCGATGGTTAAAAAATCTAATCAGTTATTATCGTTTTATTATAGTCAATTATGAAGATTATATTCAAATGTGTGTGTAATACTTTTTCAACATGAACCATGGGGGTCACATTTACACTGGTTATGATTGACTTTCCGCACTATTTTTTGCTGTATTAATCAGCACGATCTACGTCCGTAACGAGTACACAGAGCTTAAAGTGACGTCGACGACGGTGACGGTGCGGTTTAATTTCCCAACGCGACTGTGACACATTTATTGATCGGTGAAACTTTAAACCAACGACGTATGCTGATGGTGATCGTGTAGGTTTCAAAGCAGTATAAGTTATTAAAAAATTGTAAGCCTAACTGAAATATTCCTTGAATGAATGCATAAAATAAATGTCGCATCTCTCAAGTAGGCCTAGACTACATTCCTTGCTCCATGAGTGTTTTTTTGTCTACCTTTACCCATATCATATCAGCTCTGATGCCAATTTTTCAATTACCTGAGTGAGACCAAACAATCGATCGAGAGTTTTGTGTTAATAAATATTTTTGTTCAGTTAGTGTGTTGTATGTTTTTGATTACAATGCTGTATTTGTGAACAGTAAATCATTTACAGTAATTTCTTTTATTTTCTATTTACTACAAATGTAATGGTGCAGCTTAACAATAACAAAAAAAGAGATTTGACATGGATTAATTCGAATTAGGGATTGATAAGTGGCTAAAACAATTTTTAACATTTTAGCCAATTATGGCTAAACAAATATCCAATTGGCTAAATTTTCTTTTTTAGCTTTAGCCAATTGGCTAAACAAAAATGAAAGTTAGAGTGAACCCAGCATTACTATCACAAATATTGATATTGTAATTTTCTTTGCTATTAATAGGCTTATGTTAACCCAATAGCGGCAGCAAGAGCCAAAGGTCCCGTTGATACGGGAGGATCAACTATACAGGATTACCTAAACAGACCAGGGAGGCCGACATGGTGAGTTACATGATCGTTGCTTAAATTCTACTGTAGCCCTGGTTACAGTACTATCCACTAATATTCAGGATTACCCAAACAGACCAGGGAGGCCCACATTGTAAGTACAGGTAGTACTGTACATGATGACTGTTTATTGCTACTGTAGCCCTGGTAACTATCCACTATTCAGGATTACCTAAACAGACCAGGGAGGGCCACATTGTAAGTAGTACCTGATCACTGCTTAAATTATTACTGCAGCCCTGGTGATTACCATATTCAGGATTACCTAACAGATCAGGGAGGCCCACATTGTAATAACAGTAGTACGTGATCACTGCTTAAGTTACTACTGTAGCCATAGATTTGTAATTTAAAAAAAAATTAAAGGTCATTTTTGTCCATTTTGTTACCTGGGTTGCTAATGGAGTGGATATAAATATAGCCATAGTTTTGAAGAGGACATGTATTTTACATTAGAGTGTTTGAAAAAAAACCAGATTTGCTCAAGTATTGAACATCAACTCTTCAATTTCAAATGTGCTAAAATACCACCAAACTTTCCTTTAAATATTTACCAAAATGCATGCAACAACCTACAAATTTCACTTAAATCTACAAATGAAGTTTCTGAGATACAGATTGTAGTAGTATACTTAAACTGGAAAAAAGGGTTTAGCTTTTGAGTTTCTTTTTATTATTGTGTGCAGCATTTTATGTTTCTTTACTTTGTTCCAATCCAATAATTTTATTATATCAAAAAGCAGCATAAGCTGAATTGCATGATATTGACAAGGCATTCATTAAAACACAATACAAAAATTAAAACTTTTGATGAAACTATTGATGAAAAATATATCAATATAAGTATTAAATAAACAATTGTTCAATATGAAAAAAAAATGTTATTTGAAATTATGTAATTTTTATTTTATTATCTCATTGTAAAATATTTAACATTTATATGGATTTATCAATTTAAGAATTTCCACCAAAGGGTCGTCAATGATTGCTAAATGTCCTTTTGTTTGAATGACTAAAAACGTATTTTGCTTAAATTCAGGGAGGAATTCAAAGAAAAACTTGATAAACGTAACCATGGATCCAGTACACTTGCTGACTGGGAAAAGAAAATGAATGAGGTATAAATTATTTTTTGCCTTTGTTTAATTTATACATGCATGTAAATTATACAAGCATTAGTTATGTATTAATTACAAGAGCTTTCCATCAAAAATTGCACCTAGTTCATCTAGTGGCAATTATGTCTATGCTAATATTTTTTTCTCTTCAGCAACATAAGGAAGACCTCAGGAAGAACAGAGAGAAGTTACTAAATAAAGCTTTAAAAAAGAAGAAAAAAGAAGTAAGTTTACTAGAAGATAGCACTATTTAATTAATTATTCATTCCTTTTGGATTGGATAACAATTTCTGTTGATAATATATCAATAAATTAAATTAATACAATGTAACAGATTGAGCTTTGAATTTGAAGTACATGTTTTCTAGTTGAAAAGGAATATATTCATAGTGGGGCGTTTATTCAAATAAATATGGTAATTGATTTTTGGACTGGACTCTAGGCCCCTTGTTCACAATGATGTGCACTTGTGGTACACCATTCAGAAAATAGTATAGGTGATCATATTCTGATTAAATAGTTTTATGTGATCACATTGTATTATCAAACATTATAACAATTTTAAAGCTTTTGTATATTAATTTATTGACATAACCTCCTTGAGTAAGGAAAAAACAATATTTTTTTAAAATTTTGTCTTGCAGAAGAAAATGAAGAAAAAGAAACGACACAGGGTATTGTAAAAACAACCTTATTCAGTAGATTTCATTGACTGTAGAATTATTTTCTCATTTTTTCTAGATAAAATGAATACCATTCAAAAATAAAAGCCGCAAATTTTATACGCGATTCTGCTACCGAAATTTGGGGTGCGGCCTATACACTGGTCATCAACCTACTCCAAAAAATGTTAGATTGTGAACCGTTGTGAAAATCAGGCGCCATCTGTCTAGGCATAGAGTCTAGGTTAGGCTCAGGGTAGCCCAATTAATTAGCCTAGGGTAGGATTGGTTTTTAGTCTTATAGTATTTGAATTATACACACTACATTTCTATGACATTCAAGCAATGGTTTGTGTTGTCTAAATAATTATTTTCATATTACGTTCATTCATAAAAAATGTTTGGAACACGTTTCTGTTTGAACCCGCTTCGCTCAAAACAATAACAAACGTTTTGTCGGTCCTTGTTTAATATGATTTCAGAATAAAAACTTGCGAAATTAATGAGTGTTATAAAAACATGAGTTTTCATAAGTTGTAATACTTTTTTGACTGGAATTTAACTGTAGAAAGCCATACCATCATCATATCATCTTCTGCCCATACGTAAATTTTGCATCATGTGGTACTTCTCAGTTCTGTTATTGTTCATAATATGTGGTGTGTGATGCTGCATGCTTTGCACGTTGGGTTGTGAGTAGCAATGACTTTAGGCCTAGATATACCAATATTTTTAATGCAATACTTGCTGTTATTAGTCACCATAATAATAGAATGATTGATTGAAATGGATAAATATACTCACTATTAATTATTTTATATTTTGTTAAACTTTAACTAAACTGATGTTAAAAATTTGACGCAGCACCACCGTCTATCGAGAAATGGGGATTAAGTTATCCAGAAGTTTACACGTATTTCCAGTTGTTTGTTGTTTAATAATCGGTCAATAAAGTTGAAATTTCTTCATTTGAATATATGTAAATAATGTCAATGTTTCAAAATGATTAAAAACTTGATATAATGGGAATGGTTTGGAACCTTAATATATCGTGTCCTAATTAGGGGTGTGTCTTATACTCCGGAATATACGGTAAGTTTAATAGGGCGAGACTTTTTTTTATGCCTTGTTTAGCAAACCCGCCACCCGCCAATAATGATAGTTTTGAATAGAATATTAAAAGTTTGCTTTTGGCCGATTATTGCACCCGTTACCACGAAAAAAAATAGAAATTTCGGGAAAAAAATAAGATGTGTATTTCTTCCTAATTATATATATATATATAGCATTTAACCATCCAATTACTAAACTGTTATTTACAATAAAATTTTATTTTTATTTTCTCCTCCATTGGCAAAACTATCTTAAATCTTTGGAAAAATAAGTTTGCAAAACAAGGTATAAAAAAGTCTCGTCTAGAATAGAAATAACTATTCAAAATGGTGTAAAGAATTCCTTGCTTGTATTTGTAGTTGACTTGTTGACTTAATAGCTAATGTTCTCTCCTTTATTTCATTTTTTGTTTAAGTCGCCTTCTCCTTCATCTTATTCGTCATCTTCTTCAGATAGTGAATCAGAAACACAGGTGAGATATTTTGAAGTGCAGTACACACAGAATTTAGAACAGCATTTGAATTTGATATCTGCTCTCACATGTTATTATTTACTGTATGTTTCAGAATTCCCTTTTTACTTTACTGCTTGGTAGTGATGATGGGGAGGGACATGTGTAGTTGCATAAAACATTGACTGTAATTGCTATAACTCAACAAAACCTAGTATTCTCGCATGTAAATGCACACACAATGAAGTACTGTATCCAGGCACGTTGATAGGTATCATGTGTAGAATGTCCAGTGATTACATTACAAACTGCCAATGATGTAAATAATGCTCACACAAACTGGCAAATTCATTAATACGGTAATTATTTGTTGTGTAGTAGATGCCTTATAATGGCATTTTTTGAATTACATAATAAACACAAAATGTTGCTTTAAAGTATTTCTAACCAGAGATTTGTGTTTTACAGGTGATAATTTTCCAATCATATAATTAAAAATTAAGGATTAAATATTCCTTTTTTTGTCCAATTCCAATTGTTTGAAATTGGAAATTTTGGCTGGGCCCTTGGGGACCCGTGGCAGCCACAGCGCAGTGTGTGACCCTGCTATAATTTTTGCTATTACAGGTAAAGAAAAAAAAGAAGAAACGGAAGAAAGACTCTTCAAGAAGTAGGGAACGTTACTCTGGGAGTTCAGATGAAAGGTACAAATTTATTTGTCTTCGCTTCCAAATTGTCATTTATCTAATTTCAACTGTTAATCTTGTGTTTATACTATTACACCATTGAAATCAGAAGCAGTAGACAATAGATCCATCCATTTAAGGAGAGCACCTGCAAGGCCATACTTAAAAAGCTATTTTTTAGAATAAAATTATAAATTTGAACTGGAGCACTTGTACTTCCCTGCTATCCACACTACCACATCATCTGAAATCTTCTCTTTTTTTATACTGCTTCAACAAATTCGTTTAAATAGCTGGCAGTATATACAAAGTGTGATCACAAGAGCTTAACACCTATAAAATACATCACCTGGTGATGAGATTCTGTTATTTTATGCTGTACACTGTGAAAACAAAAACCAGTCAGAAGTTGGGAAAAAATCTATTTATAGATACTAATACCATTATGTTAAAAGGTTGAAATAATTACACTGATAACTTTAAGTTGCTTTAGGTTATTTCTACTGTTAATTTCAGGGTAAATTGTAGGGTATGCTAGGGGCCATTGAAATAGAGTTGTCTAATAAGAAAAGTTTGATGTATTACATTGCAATCAAAGACTGTTTTTTAGTCAAAATACATGTTCACTCTTTATAGTTATATTTGCATGGTTGTAGTTTCTTCTCAATAGAGTTCTATTAAAAGCCTGTACTTTTAACAAATTATAATATTAACTTAAACCATTCCAATGAAAAGTAGTAGTGAAATCAAAACATTAAGATGGTGTAGAAGAATTTGGATAAGAAATGCTAAAAAAAATGGATAAAAGGAACTCTAGAAAACGGTTTGGAGTTTTAGCTTGGGTATGCAGTACATACCTTGCATCCCTTGATGGTCTGCAAGCCTAACTTCCTTCCATACCAACAGGTGATTATGTTACCACTAAATTTCTTTAGTGTGTATATTATTTAAACCTTTCTTTAGTTAAAATCTGATCACTTCCAGCTGATTTCCATATAGCAGCGTGCTACCAATTTTGCATGTTGGTGCCACGTATGAAAACAAAAACTGTACCATAATTATGTTTTAATATATTTTTATTGAAATGGATCTGTGACTTTAGTGTCAATATGCTCTCCTTCCAATCTCCCGTAAATGGATTCAAATTTTGCAGAAAACTTTTATCATGACTAAAACAACTCTCATAATGAAACATGTAAAGTAAGTGGCAACTAAACTAGATGTTAGAAAATAAATAAAAAGTAAAATTGTTTCATTTCTATTTCAGAAGATCATCAAAAGACAGAAGGAAAAGATCAAAGCTAAAATAGAAAAATAAGAGGAGAATGAAGCGGGTGCAGTGTGCTTCATATGTGTATATCAAGTGGAATAATGTACCTCAAAATGCAGTGCAGATAATTTTGATTATGCATTAAATAGTTTTTGAATGAGGAATAGCATGATTTTGATTGACATAACCCTCATGAACCCCCACCCACAACTTTGAATGAGAAGGTTTAGAAGTGTCTTATATTAGTGCACATGACCCTTGCACCTGGGATCACATGGGAATGAGGATATGGGTTAACAGTCTCTAGTATAATAGATCGCACATACTTTGCAGCTGTGATCACATGAGAATGAGGATATGGGTTAACAGTGTCCAGTATAATAGATCATATGAACTTTGCATCTGGGATCACATGCGAATGAGGATATGGGTGAACAGTCTCTAGTATAATAGATTGCATGAACTTTGCAGTTGTGATCACATGAGTGTAGGGTTAATGATATAATAATACTGTAGATCACTAGTTGAGCATCATATTTGCGATTACATGAAGTTACAGTAATAGTAATAGTATATATCTTTCTTATTTATAAATAGCTCCCAGTCAGGATATGGGTCAATTCTGTACTTAATAAATATCATGGGACTATGATTTGGATTATTTATTTTTGCAATTACTGTATATTTAATTTTGAATGAACAAGTAAAATCAATATCCTTTTGTACACATTGTACATTGTCCTAATATGTTCCTCCTGAGGTGAAGTTTAAGTTAACAGGTTATAACAAAAATTGTATTCAAACAAGTTACTCAGATTATGGAAAGCTCAGAAATAATGAAAGTAAATTAATAATAGCCAAACAAAAAGGTGTATTTTTTAAGTTACGTTAAGCAAAAGAATGATTTCTTGACAACAACCCTCTCACAGCCTAGTCTCAATATCAAGTACAGTAGAATGTTGTAACCATTATGCTAGACTAGTCTGGCTTGTTGGGGCAGTTTTATATGCATGGTATTTACTGTCCTAGATACATTTAGCTATGCACTAAATCATGACCAGTCAAATGATGGAGAGCTCAGGATATTTACATTTTTAAACAGGATAAATTCATGGCTCTTCTAAATTTTGTGTAAACGTATGTGAGTTGCTACTTTAAGTAATGTATTATTTACCAGTTAGATATAAAGATAAGGTTTTGGAGGTCTTAAAATTTGAGTGAACTCTACTGTAAAGTATATATTTTTAGCCTAATTTCAATCTTGCAATCTGTAATTAGAAGCAGGGATGAGGAGTTCCAAAATCTTATTTTACTCCCCTTCACATTTTTTTGTTTTTGTTTCTGTGGATTTGTAAATTAATTAAAAAAATACATTTAAAAACTTTGAATATAGTATTGGGATTTTATTTTTTTGTCTGAAGGAGGTGAAGGCTAACACCAACAAAGAGAAACAGAAAAAGAGTTTTGTTAATACTGTCACAGAAAAATATTTTTTTCTCTGGTACTGTGTACTGTATTTCATTATTGTAAATGTGTGCTGCAGATTACTGAAAAAGTAAAGCAATGATAGGAGTGGGGGTGAGGGAGACATCCCAAAAAAGCTTGCACCTTAGTTTTCCCATTTCAAGACTCTTAGATACATCACTGAAAGAGAGGTGTGCTTCGGTGCCAAGAATTGCCAATAGTGCTGTAAATAAGTTTACTACCGCAACCACTTTACTTTCAGTCCCTGTCAAATAATGATGTAAACACGAAACTACTATAAATGCCTCTTTACAGCGGCTAGGTAATCACGGACCACACCCTAAGTAATTAACTTAGAACTTAGAACTTTCTAAATCGATAATAGCAGGGCCATATCCAGCATAGGAACGCTAATGGACATGCGATATCATAATCGGCATGACACGGTAGCAGCAATAGTAGCTGTAGAAGGCAGAGAAGAGTTTGTATACAACTGAGAGGATATAAATCCGAACCCGCAAATCATGCGTTAACAATTCAAACAATTCTACCAACTTACATAAGCCATCTACAAAATCAGTTAATGTTACACAAACCAGCTCTAAGTCTGGTAACTCCTTTTCCACAAGTGAATAAGCAGTTTTCCTCTGATAATAGTGGTTTTCGTTTTTTCACTTATTGAAATTTGCCTTGAATGACATTTAAACGAAAAAACTATGTTCCAAATAATTTTTTGTATGATATCTTTTATTTATCTTATCTGAATGGCATTTTAGTAACATCATCCTCAAATTTATCCTGTCTTCAACGAGACATTTTCTTGCTGTTTCATTTGAGTGCGATGTTTATCTGATACATCTTCTTTGGATTTAACCAGAGCCCACGACATCTCAAGAACACCAAATGTTGATGTTCCTTTAGATCTATAAAGAGAGGAAATTAATAATTGAATTATAAAATACATATTAAATGTATAATGTGCATACACCACTATGGTAGTGGATTCATCATAATGGATTTTTAAGTGAAACTTAAAGAATTAACAACAGATCATTACGATAGAATTCCTGCTGACGTACAATTTATTATGGGTATTTAATACTCATACCATTGGTAGTGGGTTACTTATACTATCTGTTTGCAGCAGGGGTGCTATTATATACTGTGTATATATTTGAGTCTCGGTGGAGTTTTTTTCTTTGTCAGATTACTCTTCTGTTACATTTCATTTTATATTATTAATTGCATTCATATGATAAAATTAATAGTGATAAACTCTAAACCGTCTTGCGGTAATGCTATATATATATATATATATATATATATAGCATTACATATATACATGTATACATATACATATACATACATAAATCATCAAAGAAAAGTAAATACAGTGTTCGAATAAAGGACATAATAATACATCGTGTAGCATAGCTCGCAACGAATGTAGTCCTGAGGCATTTTATTACACAATTTCTTTATTCATTTATTTACAGGACTACATTCGTTGCGAGCTATGCTA